AGTTTAGCCTTGACAATTACGTAAAAGGAGTCAACTAAAAGTTCAATGGGGTCCAGCGCAATAGCCTAGTGGCTAACTACTCGCCTTGTATGTGCCAGGATTCCATGTAGTTGCCCAGCTGCTCCGCTTCCCATCTGGCTCCCTGCCTGTGACCTGGGAGAGCACAAGAAGATGACCCAAGCCCTTGGGACCCTGCCTAAGCATGGGAGACCTGGCAGAAGCTCCTGGCTCATGGTTTTAAGTTGGCTCAGTTACGCCATTGTGGCCACTTGGGGATTGAACCAAAGAAAGGAAGATCTTTCTCTCCCTTTTTCTCCTTTCTGTAAACCTGCCTTTTCAAGAAAAATAAATCTTTCAAAAATTTTTCAACTGCCTGAAAACAGAAATTGGTAGGAGGTGGGAAGCAGGAATTCATGATGACGGAAACTACAGCAACATTTAAAACAACAGAAACAGAAAGTCTTGGCTCCCTTATCTTACAAACAACAACTGAACCAGATTACATCTCTCTTTTCTGTTTCCCAAAATACCTTAAAAAAAAAATTCCTGACCAGTATGGCACCATAGCTTAAGTGGCTACTCTTGCTGCCGGCAATTCAAGGTCGCTCCGCTTCAGATGCAGCTCCCTGCTAAAGCTCCTGGGAAAGCAGTCGGGGATGGCCCAAGTGCTTGAACCCCAGTACCCACTTTGGAGACCCCTGCTGCCTGGCCTAAGACCAGGCACTGCAGACTCTGAGGGAACCAACAGATGGAATATCTTTATCTCCCCTCCGACACACACACTACCACTGCAATTCTCTCAAAAACACAAACCTTAAGAAACAAATACTCCCAAAATCATGTCACTTTCTCAGTCACTACACACACACACACACACACACACCCCTTCTGACTTACACTCTCAGGCACTTCATGATTATTAACACACTCTAGAGGAGTCTGGACTACATGATCTTCAAGGTCCCTTCCAGCCTTCAAGGTAAATGACTCTAAGGTGAGAAATAATTAGCCTCTTCGGACAAGAAGGGAAAGAACCACGTAAGATGGACACAGTAAAAACTACTTCCTTTTTTGACTTCAACCTACCGGGGTGTTTCCATATACTAGAATAAAGAAAGAGGCAGCGTTGTTAGAATGGTGAAATGCAGGTCCAAAACTCATCAGGCGATCCAGACAGCGCACTTGGAAAAGATGAGCAGGCTTGACATGCGTATATAACAATTTTTTTTAATGCCTGTTAATTCGTTTGCTTTTTTTCTTAAGGCAAAGAGAGAGAAAGAAAGGTATCTTCCATTCACTGGCTCATTCCCCAAAAAAGCCACAACGGTGGGGGCCGACCCAGGTCCAAGCCAGGAGTCGGCATATCCCTCCTGGCCAGTGTAGGCAGCTGGTGCCCAAGTATTTGGCCCGTCATCCGCTGTCTTCCTTGGCACCTTAGCTGAGACGATCAAAAGCCAAGGCCAGTGTGGTAGCACAGCACTGTAATCCTCTGCCTGCACTGCAGGCATCCCATATGGTTACCAGTTAATGTCCCAGCTGTTCCCCTTGTGATCTAGCTCCCTGCTTACGACCTGGAAAGGCAGCAGAGAAGGTTCAATTCCTTGGTCCTGCATCCACGTGGGAGACTGGCAGAGGACCCTGGCTCCTGACTTCAAATCAGCTCGGCAACAGCTGCTGCTGCAGCCATTTGCGGAGTGAACCATCAGATGGAAAATATCTGTCTCCATTCTGTAAATCCACCTCACATATTAAAAAAAATAAATATATTTTTAAAAAGAAGCAGAGTAACCAAGATTCAAACCAACACCCTGATAAACCATGCTGGAATTGCAAGTGGCAGCTAAACCCACTGCATCAACCTTTAGAAAGAGACTGATCAATCGATCAATCTATGAAGAAAAAAAATGCTTCTATTTTAAAACTAAGTGATAATTTGAAATGAGCTCAATTTTAGCCAATGGAAAAAAGCTTGAATGCTTTCATAAACCACATAACATTTAGACCAATATCAAGACATAAAAGACATCACTCTAAAATTGTGAAAATTCAGCGGCCAGTATTATGGTACAGGCATGACTTTAAATCCTGGATAATCTGCTTCCGATCCTGCTCCCTTCTAATACATCTGGGAAAACAAGCGAAGATGGCCAAGTTCTCAGGCACTGCAGCCATGTGAGATCCGGACGGAGCTCCTGGCTCTTGGCCGCAGCAGGGCCCAGCCCTGGCCACTGCAACCATCTGAAGAATGAGCCAGGAACGGAAGACTGCTATTCTCTCTCTCCATGTGTGTAACTCTGCCTTTCAAAAAAAAAATCTTAAACAGTGATAAAATTCTGGAAAACTCTGAAAATTCTCAAATAAACATTAGCTAAATAGCTAGGAAATAAGATTATCTACCCTTCTAGACATGGAAAAGACCCATCTACAAAATCTAACCAGATGCTCAGTCACAACACAAAGGAAAACAGCACTTAGTAGTAGAAAAGGTGAATCCTCTGCGTGAAATACATCCTAACACGATATTTCTAAATAAAAGGTAACCAGTTTTTTGGGCCTGGCGCCATGGCCTAGCCGCTAAAGTTCTCACCTCGAACACACCAGGATCCCATATGGGCACCAATTCTAATCCTGGCAGCTCCATTTCCCATCCAGCTCCCTGCCTGTGGCCTGGGAAAGCAGTCAAGGATGGCCCAAACCTTGGTACCCTGTACCTATGTGGGAGACCCAGAAGAAGATCTGGGCTCCTGGCTTCAGATCGGTGCAGCACCAGCCATTGTGGTTGCTTGCGGAGTGAATCATCAGATAGAAGATCTCTGTTTCTCCTCTCTGTATATCTGACTTTGTAATAAAAATAAATGAATCTTTTCTAAAAAAAGATAACCAGTTTTACAAGGCCAATTTGAAGTTTCAAAGAATCTTCACAAAAAGCACCTCTAATATACTTATATAAAATGTCAATTAATTAGTTCAGCCAATAGCTAATGAATACAACGTGTAGGTGTCTCACAAGCATATAACAATCTCTGCCTCATGCGTAAAACACATCTTACAGCAAGGAACCAAGAGATTAGTTATAACCATCCATCATTTCGAGATGATACCAGAGATGATCAATTTCTTTTTTGGGGGGAGGGGGCACCTGTAACTTCTAAACAACTATACCATCAATAACTCCCTTGGAAGGTATTTCTCTGTAACCAATAACAGAAGGAACTGATTCCATTTTAGATTTTTTAGATTTTAGTCTGGAGGGCTACCCAGCAAAAGAATGATAAGAATCTTATAAAAGTTGCTGGCTTATGCCAAACATGGCATTCCCAAAGGATGCTCTGTCTAGAATCTGTGGGGGAATCATACACAAATCATCTATTTACTCAGACCTTCCAAAGCGGCTGGAAATATTTGTGTCTTGGGGGGGGGGGGGGGAGGAGAAGGCTGAGAGCAAATTTGCTGACTCCTAATGGTTCAGGCCTGAGCTTCCAAGATTCTATAAAGGAGCAGTAAATTAGGGTTTGGCTAGTATTTGCTGAGTACTGAAGCCAGCATAAACATTTACTTGAGGCTTTTCAATCTGTAAGCATACCCAGTGGTTAGGTACAGTAATTCTGAATCTGAAAAAGCCAAACAAGTCTTCTGGAAAAGTTTCTAAATAAAGGTGGGGTGGAGGAGGTAGGCACATTTCCTTTGTTTTCACCAAATAAACAATACAGACTTCAGAAATGCAACATGTGGCTGTAGGTGGTACTGATTCCTACAAGCTGTTTTACTGCCTTATAAAAATACCAGCAATTCATACTTTCAAAAGGTCCCCACGTGCAGATTCGAAACAGACGACTCAGACTCCAGTTCAGAAAAGAAAGAAAAAAGACCAAGCTGGCCCACAGAAACAAGTCAAGGCTACAAAAATATTTTGCCTTCTGCTATATAACATATCAACTGCACATTCCTAAGCAAAAAGGCACAAAGCATGCCAATATGAGCAGCATGATGCCCAGCAGAGCCTGATGGTAAACCCTAATTCTACAATATTACTGATCACACAGAAATTTGACCAATAAATATTTTGGTCGAGGACTGCTTTGTCATTTTTGCAAGTATTTTTAGTTGAAAGCAAATGGTTTCGTGGTAATCTGTGGACATGGTTCTGATTTTTAAATGCCTATTTTTACATTCTGGTCACTGGTTAGGTTTTCTAAACTCAAGTCTTTAGAACTAGTAATTTGGAAAGGGTAAACCACAAACACATGACATTGCGTTAAGAATGCAAAGGCCTAACAAGCCCACCAAGTCAGACCAACACCAACTAACTTGGAAACCTCTGCACAGCTCACACATCTGAGGATGCCCCAGAAATTCCCTCCCTCCTTAGCAACAAGAGCTCAAACACTCCTAAGTCCATCTCTCTGGAGCCATCAGAATTTGCTTGTTTTCCCTCTGTACAATTGGGGGTTTTTTGGCGGGCCTTCCTTCGGCTTTCTCCCCCAAGTCTCCAAATTCACCTCCCCCTCGTACTTCAATTTTCCATAACACACACTACAGAATATTTCCACAGCGGTGAAATTTTTTATACAAATCAGCCAATATTTTACTGAAATCCCAGCTTTCTGGAACACTTTCAATCCTTTTAAACAATCCCCATCCAATTTCAATCCCAAGAGTTTGAGCACTAGTAGCTCGCTTCACTCGCACATTTTCTTTCCAAGGTTTTTGCTTAGTGCTCTATTTCAACTAGAGGTAAAAGATTAAAGAAATGTTATGACTGGCTCTTTTTTTTAAAGAGGGGTGTCTTAGAAGGAAAGAAACGGCCCCTTCTTGTTACTGTAAATGAGCAGCCTCTTGTTCTCAGCAGTCCGTCTGCACACAAGACCACTACTGACCTCAGTGGGAATTCAGCCCAAGGAGTGAGGAAGACAGAGTAGGATTAAATTGGTCCTAAATCCAAACCACTGTTCCAAGCCATTGCCACTTCTCCAGTAACCTCAAAGAGGAGATGAGGTGTGATGGGGATTCGCCAGCTGAATTATGGAAATGATCACGTGACTCTGACAGGTGACACAGCAGAGCTCTCTGAAGGCGGTGGGTGTCGCCTCCAAGCCCGATGGGCTCACTGCAATGCAGCCCCATCAAGGCTGCAAGAGCTAGCCAGGGTTCCCACAGCAATGCCTGAAAACGAACACTGAATAGCATTATCATACCTCGTAGATAATTTTATTCATTCTGCATTAAAAACAATTTAAAGCCTGATCTTTCTAAACCCCGCGAGCCCCAAGGCAAGAAACTGAGTCAGTCTCCCTCAGCTATAAGGAATCCAACAAGACAGCAAACTGAAATGATGATTTTTGAATACTGGATTATAAATTATGTCAGGAAGATAAAAATAATGGATTTCAATGAAAGCATGGAGAGTTATAAGGAGACTTTTTTAAAATAAAGGAAAAACTGTGAAAAACTTTCAACAGAAAAAAAAAAAAAAAGACCTAAGTGGGAGTAAACGAGGAAGACGCTTCATACACACATGCCATTCACATGCAAGAAGTTCCAAACACTGAGATGGGACGCACCTTGAACAAGAGAAAATATAAACGCGGCTCACCCACTAGCTCTTAAAACGCAGGGGCAGCCAGCGTGGTGTCCAGGAAAACTGAAGAGAGGTCCTCACTCAGCATGACCTCCCAGAAGAGAGCAGGCGGGAGCTGCTGAAACCTCACCGAGAAAACCTCCCCTCCCGAGCGGTGAGTGGTCAAGTTTTCGGGATGGAGGGTGCCGGAGCGCCCAGGCCAGCCCTGCTGCCGCCTCGGCTTCGCCCGCCTTCCGGCTCAGCCCCGACCCTGGCCCGCGGCGTGCGAGCATTGGCGCCCGCCACGCGCGGTGTCTACACCCGCGGGCTCCTCGGCGGCTCCCGGGAGGCGCGGGGCGGATGCCGCGCGTGGGGTAGCCGCGCCGCCCTCGCCCGCCTCCCCGCAGCCGTCACGCGCGTGGCCACAGCCTTCACCCCCGAAGGGAGGACCGGGCGGCCGGGCCCCGCAGCCCCGCGCCGGGGAGGGAGCCCGACCCCAGCCCAGCTGCTCCGCCGCGCCCGTCCGCAGGACCCCGAGAGCCCGAGGCTCCACGGTCGTGGGGGAAGGCGCAGTGCTCTCCGCACCCTCCTCTGCCCCAGGCTCCTGCGGAAGGCGGGGAGAGCGGGGGCCGCAGCGGGATCAGGGAAGCGGGCCGGGAGCCACAGGACCCGGAGTCCGGGGCGGTGAGGAGAAAACTCCCCAAGCCGGCCTCCTTCCCTCCTCTCGGGGGCACCGTCCCGCCACAGCTTCCTGCCCGGGATCAGCTTCCCCGCTGCAGCCCGAGGAGAAGCCCCACTCCGCCCTGCAGCTCGGCAGGGACCGGCCTCCCGCGGGCCCTCGCGTGCCGCAGCCCCGCACGCCTGCTTACCGACAAGCCGCACCGCACGGGCCGTCCCGCTCCGCCGCCCGCCTCCCTCCGCTAGCTTTCAAATTGAAATTCCCTGGCTGGGGCCGGCGGCGGCCTCGGCGCGCACGCTCCGCCCCCTCGCGGCGGAAGCCCCTCCCGCAAGGCCGCCGGACGCGCCCCCCGGCGCGGAAACCCCCGCGGGCCGGCCAGCGCCACGCCCCCGCGCCGCGAGGGGCGGGCCTCCCCCACGCGGCCTGCCTCGAACCCGGGGCCGGGGGAGCCGCACCGGGACGGCCTGCCCAAGCCCGGGGCCCGCGGGAACCGCACCGGACGGCCTGCCTGGAACCCTGGGCCCCGTGGGAAACACTCTGGGACAGCCTGCCCAAGCCCGGGGCCTCGCAGGAACCCCTCGAGGACGGCCTGCCCCGACCCCGGGACCCGCGGGAACCGCTCCGGAAGGCTTGCCCCAAGCCCGGAGGCCCCGTGGGAAACACTCTGGGACAGCCTGCCCCGACCCCGGGAACCGCACCTGGACGGCCTGCCCCGCACGTGTGGCCTCACGGGAACTGCTCCGGGTAGGCCTGCCCCAAACCCCCGGGTCGCAGGACCCGCTCCACAACGGCCGGCGCCTTCGCCTTGGTGCGGGGCTTCTCAGCGACTCAGAGACCTAGTGTCGGGCATTCCCTGACAAAACCTTCATGGAGGGGCTACTCCCTGGAGCACCTTAGCGTAGGGCCTGGGGACACCGTGGCAAGAAGCTGGGTCGCCCCTGCTTGTCGCGTGGCCGAAGTGCCTTCCCCAAAAGCAGCATTCAAAAGAAGCCATCTGTTCTCCCCGAGGGTGGTAGGGCAGAATGGCCGGGGCAAAGCCCACCGAGTCGGGGCCTTTATGCTCACCATCTGAGAACCGGGCACGAGGCAGCCAAAGAAGCCCCCCGAAAGAGTTGGAACCAAACTATGGAAAGCCACAAGCAATAACACATCACACACACACACACACACACACACGATAGCCACCACCCTCTTGTAGAATTGAACCATTGCCTCAAGTTCCCCTTACTTCGTCCGTTTTATGGTTTAGCATGTGTCAGACTGGTGTGGAACGGGGTACCTAGCTCACTGCCCCCAGCACCCACAAACATCTGGTCCTGGTCCTCTCTGCCTCCTCTTACCTCTTCCACTGTCTTCAGTGATCCCACTTCCCCATGTTCTCCTTTTCTTTCCTGAACATGACCTTCTCTAAAATTAACCATGTCCAAAGCAGCCTCAGCAACAGTGCCTTTCCCGCTGTGGTGCTTTTCTGTTAACACAGTGACATACTTGGCCACCGGAGGCTGACAATGAGCGCTGAGAGAGACAGAACAGTAATTTGGCCCTTCTATCAATGAGAAAAGACTTAAGATACATTATTTTTATAATTTTATAATAATTTTTATCATTTTAGGCATTTTATTTATGTGTGTGCTTTATGTTCTAGGCATAAGTCTGCATTCCTAAATGTTTTAATGTAGTTGATCACAGTTCTATATAAAAGTACACACATTAAACTGAGCAAGCGGCATGACTTTGGAGCCGAAGCCTGATGAGCAGCAGTTCTGGGAAAGAAGACTTGGGGATTTCATAAGAAAGTGTTATTATAAATCTATAGGCACAGTGACAGTAAAGCAAACCTGACTCCTTGTTTATACCGGCTGAAAAATTATATTTGTCATTTAATACTTTACTTTCCATTAAAAATTCATAAAAGGGTGGGCAGATGGCACAATAATTAAAACCAGCTTGGGATTCCCACATTGGAGTACCTAAGTTTGAGTCCTGCCTCTCTTTCTAATTCCAGCTTCCTGCGAATGCCCACCCTGAGCCACAGCAGTCATGGTTCAAGGAGTCAGGCCCCTGCCACCCGCTTGGGAGACCTGGATTAGGTTTCTCCAATTCCCAGCTTCTGCTTTGCCCAGTCCTGGCTGTTGCGAGTGTTTGGGGAAGCGACCAAGAAATGATCTCTCTTGCTCTATCTTTGTCAAAATAAAAAAGATGATATAAATGTTGTTATCAAAAACCTAAATATTATCTGTTACCATTTGGAGGATTCATTAGATTCCATGGAGGCACAGCTTTACATGAACCCCAACTTTCAGTAGAATGGAACATCCAGTGAGGACCTGCCAGAAACTGAAGGTTGAAGGAACTAGGAGGAAGCAGAAACAACAGATGGAATATGGTACAATAGAGATATTGGCAATGAACAGATGGTAGACCAGGTGAGCTAGAATGTCTAACACGGAAAGAGGGATCTGGGCAGAAAGGACAAAGTCCTAGAGAGGCTGGGAAGCTGAGCACTGGCAGGACTACCAGCATTCGGTTCAAGGCCAGAACACTAATCCCCAGGAGACAGAAACAAGATTGGGTCTTGCTACTAGACCCAGAATGACTCAGTCAACAGGACAGGAATCGCGATACTAGACCTGAGAGCCGCCAGGTCCACAGTCAGCTTCACGGCCCCAGGCACGAACATCATCTTCAAGCACAGTCAACCTGGAGGTAAGGACTAGAACCCGACCCAGGTCCTCCCTAGTGCCCTACTTAATAGCTGACCTCTCTGGGCACAGCATTCAAGAAAGTACTCAATATTGGTAGTTCATTCATTTACACCGTGCCCTCCAGGTGCCAAGCCTAAAGAGTTGGAAGTATTAGAATGGCTCTAGATTGAGAATTTGTTCTTTATGTGGCCCATAGGTAAAAAAGATCTGAATTCACCCTCCTACTTTGAATAAAGCATTCTCAAGCTTCATTATGAAGGCATGCAGTCTCAGATCTACTGCCACAAACCGACACAACACCACACAAATGCCAGTATGAGTCACTGTGTCACCTGGTTAGTCTTTGACAGTTTCAGTTCTGCTATGAAAACCCCCAAAGCTGGTAAATTTAATCATCTTTTCATATATTTGAGAAACAGAGAAAGAATTAGATATAAAGCACACTCCCATCCACTGGTACAGTCTCCAGATGCCTGGGAGAGCCAGGCCAATGGGCTGGAGCTGGGAGCCAGGAACTCAATCCAGGTCTCCCAGTTGTGTGGCAGGAGCCAGCTCACTTGAGCCATCATCTGTGGCATCTCAGAGTAAACCTTAGATGGAAGCTATAGTCAGCAGCCAGAGCAGTGGGCTGAAGCCCGTTGATGTGGGACCTAGGCATCTTAACCAATAAGCTAAACACCCACTCTAAAACAACCATTTTATTTCTCATGATTCTTTGAGGTTGAAAATCAAAGTTCAACAGATGCCTTCTCTATACCTTGCGGGGTTGACCGACAGGTTTGGTTGCAGATTAAGGATCTAGGACAGCTTCAGCCAGTGTCTGACAGTGTTGTCACTCAGGCATTTTCTCTTCGTGGGACACCCATCCTGCAGGTTATGAATATGTATTCATCATGCCCTACTCTCCCTTGCCTTCCCTCCTTTCTCCTCTCCTTTCTCTTCTCTTCTATCTTTAGTCCTCCCTTCCCTCCCCTTCCTTCCCCTTCTGTCACTCCCTCTCCTTTCTCTCATTCTATCTCCCTCCTTTCCCCCTCTCCTCTGACTTATCCTCTTTCCCCATCTCTCTTCCTTTCTCTCAGACCTCTGTTATAGTAACACAAACTTCTTTACATGGCACCTCACTTCCCAAAAGATAAAATCACAAACTTCAAAGTCAAGGTCAAGAAGTCACTTGCAACACTTTTGTTGATCAGACAAAATCAGAGCGTCAGCCTGAATTCAAAGAGAAGGATCTCAAGCTTCAATTTTTCTTCTTAAGATTTATTTATTTGCAGGCCCAGAGCAATGGATTAATTGGCTACTCCTTCCCCATCAAGAGCCTGGATCACATATTGGCACCGGTTCATGCCCTGTCTGCTATATTTCCCATCCGGTTCTCTGCTTGAGGCCTGAGAAAGCAGTACAGGATGACCCAAAGCCTTGAGAACCTGTACTCATATGAGAGACCCAGAAACTGCTCCCGGTTCCTAGCTTCAGATCAGCTCAACAAAGGCCATTGCAGCCATCTGGGGAGTGGGCCAGTGGATAGAAAAATCTTTGTCTTCTCTCTGCAAATCTACCTTTCCAACAAAATCTTCTTAAAAGATTTATTTGTTCACAAGCTAGGAGAGAGAGCACTTACAAAAGAGTAAGAGAATCTCCCACCTACTGTTGCGCTTCCCAAATGACTGCAGCAACCACAGTTTGACTAGGACTGGCCATGAGTCAGGAACTCCACCTGGGTCTCCCACCAGTGTGGGAGACCAAGTACTTGAGTCATCATCACCTGCTCCCTTCCGGGATGCATTAACAGGGGGCTAGATTAGAAGCAGAGGAGTCAAGACATGAACTGGGACATGGTGTCCCACATGGTACCTTAATGGCTACATCACAACACTTATTCCTACTTAACTTCTTGACAGGAGTGGAATGTGTGCATAATGATGGGAATAATGGTTGGCAGCCCTCTGTGTACACACTACCACTGAAAGCCCTGTTTGCTAAGTCTGTTACAGTCTGCCCTCAAGCAGCACTTCTCCTTTCTACATACACTAATGTTTTCCACCATATACATCACAAGTGCCTTCTCCCAGTTGGGTCACAGCAGTGATGGTAATCTTTCACAAAGGCATTTCTAGTTATGGCTAATGCAGAAATAACCATCTAAAGTTTGAGACATTCCCTTAATTCTATATGGAGTTTTGCCACACATGTATACACTACACTACACACACACACCTGCGTCATCTGACTCAATGACAGAGGAAAAAGCATGGGCATGCTAATTGTCTTAAGTTGAAATAGTGTGCAGTTACTTCCTGTAGGATCACATACCTAATTGCTCCCCCAAATAGAAAAACAAATTGAAGAGACACATACAGAATCCACAAAAAGCTACATTTGGGAAGGATGCCATGCTCTGGACATCATGCCTACTACCACAGGCATGATGTTTCTAGCAGTTTCTAGCAGTTTCTAGAACTGTTTCTAGCAGTTAATAAATATAGTGAACGAAATTAGATTTTGGTTCCTAATTCTGCTCACAAATTGTCCTTATCATCTAACCGACTATACCCAGTCTCTATCATATTGGTTATGTTACTGGGTGTGAGCGAGATCACACCAGACATGTATAAGGTCTTATTGAGGAGTCTTTATTAACCAAGCTTGGTGATAACAGAGCATACTAGAAATAGCAGATCACAAGTCCATTTTGCAATCCAACCAACTGAACATAATCCAAAAGGGAACAAATGGTCATTACCCTTAAGTTCATCCATTAAGCTGAAGACCTCTGTCTCAGCTTCCCCAACAATATGCAACGAATGTCTAAGAGACATGCAACGAATAACCTGGACACTCTTACAAAGCTGCAGACACTCACCTTTTCTTGGCTTCTCTGCCCACATTCCACTACTGCTAGGCCTCATCTCTCCTGGAACTCCTGATAGTACACAAACCAGAAACAACATTAATATATCCATTGTCCCATCAAAGCAGTACACAGGGACCATGCTCAGGGGATTACCTACCTGTCCTGGATCAGCCAGAGGTGCCAGAGTAA